CGGCCACCCCCGTCGCCCCGCAGCCCCCGGCGGGGCCCAGGCTGGAGCGAGCCCGGTCCCTCGATGACAGGGGCTGGACGAGGCGGCGGCGGATTCGAAGCGGCCACGAGGGCCTGGTGGCGCGGGAGGGGACCAGTCCCTCCAGGGACTCCGTGCAGGGTGAGGACCCCAGTCCCGCCACCCACGGCTGCACCGCGCCCTGCCTGAGCACCTCCTTGCCCGAGATCCCCAAGTCTCGCAGGGCCCCGGTCAGCGAGGGAGGGAGCCGGTCCTCCTGGGGCAACTGTCTCCCTGGGACGGTGAGCGCCTCCCCGGACCTCCTGCGCAGAGACTCCGCCTCAGCCTCGGCGGGCAGCTCCCCGAGGCTGGCCAGCCTGCGTCCCCCTCGCCCGCCGCCGCCACTGAGCCTGAATGTGGCCTCCGAGGCTCTGAGGACGGCCAGCAAGGTGGACTCAGATCACGCCGACTACAAGCACCGCATGCAGACCAGGCTGGTGTGGGCCTGCGGCGGCCTGGGCCCTAGCTGGCCCCGCAGCCCCCCGGCTAGCGATGCCGGGTCCCTGTGCTCCACCAAATGCTCCAGTCTCCTGGCACCCATCCACACCAAGGACATCCGGAGCAGGTAGGGCCCCCGGGAGGGTCTCACCCCAGGGCTTTCCTCTAGCGTTTAGGAGCAAGTGCGCAGGAACCAGGTGAGTGTATTCACATGAAAGCAGGCTAAGGTGCAGAGAGACCCATAAACAGAAGGAAGCGACACTCCCTCCTGCCATCCCCATCTCCGCGCTGCTTCCCAGAAGCGGTTACCACTCCGGTTCTCTCCGTGTCTCTCCAGAACTTGTCCTCCATTCATGGGCACGACGTGCCTGTAGAAAGAGGTCCTTCTGACTCGTTCTGTGTTTGCCCAGACGAGATCGCACTCCGCGCGCTGTTCTGTATCTGGTGTCTTTCTTTCCTGTTCGGGCAGCTCTGGCAGAGTGTGTGAACCTGCCCCTTGTTTCCGGCTGCGGGGTCATCGGGGGCACACTGAGCCGCGCTTTCACTGGAAGGAACGCTGTGGCGAGTGACCCTGGAGGGCTCTTTGGGCACAGGCTGGCCCAAAGACCTATAGGTAGACATGAACTTGCTGGGTTGAGGGGACACCCAGAGTCCACTTACTCAGGGCGGGGAGAGAGCAGACGGTGCCGATCTGCCGCACTTTGCTTCCTAGGCAAGTGTCTGGAGCTTTCTGGAACCGCGAGCCCTCTGACATGATGATATTGCCAAATGCTCTGTCACGGGCTTCTCATTCCGGCCCCCACAACCCTGTGGTCAAGGGCAGTGCACAGGCCCTTGGTTTCCTGTGCTTGGCCTCTCTGCAGCTTTAATCATCAATCCGTATTGATTTATAGCTTGAAAAACCTATAGATTGTGGGATCCCGCCCACGGTGTCATCACGCTCTACTCATGATTCCCAGATGGATGCCTCTGGCTCGTCTACACTGAGGCCAGATCCCCGAGTTCACCAGACGGGGGGCTCCAGAGACCTTTGAGCTCAGCCTGTCCAGACCTGCCTCTTCCTCTCCCGAGCCTGCTCTCGTCCTGGGATCTTGGTCTGGGGGCCTGTGCTCAGGGGCTCATACTGTGACTTGGGAGAGTGTCCCTGAACCCTGCCCTTCCTCCCCTCCCCGCAGCTGTCACCCCAAATCCTGTTGTTCTGCTGGGCATGTTGGGGTGGGGAGGAGGGGAACTGTGAGAAGGGACAGAAGGTGTGAGGGGTTCTGGTACTGGTCCTGGGGCTGCTGTGACCAATGACCACAGACTGGGTGGTTTAAAACAACAGAACTTGGCTCTCCCAGTTCTAGAGGCCAGAAGTCCAAGATCAAGGTATGGGTGGGGCCACGCTCACCAGCCCAGGCTCTAGGGGAGGATCCTTCCTGCCTCTTGTGGCTCCTGGTGGCGGTGGTGGCAGGCGTCCCTTGGCTCCTGGCTGCATCACTGCATTCTCTGGCTTCGCCCACACTCACAAGGTCATCTCCTGGGTCTCTCTGTGTTTTCTCTTCTTCTTAGAAGGACACCAGTCACTGAATTTTGGCCCACTGTGATCTAGGATGATCTCATTTTGAGATCCTAACTAATTGCATCTGCAAAGACCCTATTTCCAAATAAAGTTGCTTTCTGAGGCTCTGGGGGTCAGGCGGTGGACATGTCTTTGGGGGCCACCACTCAGCCCACTGCAGTCACTGAGGGTGGGCTCTCCCTCCCTGCACCTGCAGTCGGCCCGCAGGCAGATGAGCCCTCTGCACCTCGCCACACTGACGGGCACCCCACGGCCCCATGCCCGGCTCCCCACCCAGGCTGCATCTGGCACCCTGGGATGCAGCACGTGCAGTCATTTATAGGACAAAATCGTGTGCTTTCTTAAAATAATTCACCACAAGTTTTCTTTGAAGGTGAAATTTCTTAGTGCACATCAAGTGTCTTATTTTTTAAAGTGTATGCAATTTACCTAGATATACCTTTCGTAGAAAAGGAGAATCGTTGTTTTTAGACAACCAGGAAATGGTAGGTTGATGGAGATTCCTTAACCTGGTTCTGCTGCCTAAAACTCCCAATTTCCCGACTCTGGCTTGTTCTGGAATAGGGGTCGGCAAACTTTTTTTTTTTTTTTTTGTCTTTTTATGTGACCGGTAAGGGGATCACAACCCTTGGCTTGGTGTCGCCCGCACCGCACTCAGCCAGTGAGCGCACCGGCCATCCCTATATAGGATCCGCACCTGTGACAGGAGCGCCACTGCGCTACCAAGCGCTGCACTCTCCCGAGTGCGCCACGGGGCTGGCCCCAAAGTTTTTTTTGAAAAGGGCCAGCAGAGGGGCCTGCCCGTGGCTTACGAAGGAGAGCATGGTGCTGACAACACCAAGTCAAGGGTTAAGATCCCCTTTCCGGGCCGGCCCGTGGCTCACTCGGGAGAGTGCGGTGCTGATAACACCAAGGCCACGGGTTCGGATCCCATATAGGGATGGCCGGTTCGCTCAATGGCTGAGCGTGGTGCTGACAACACCAAGTCAAGGGTTAAGATCCCCTTACCGATCATCTTTTTAAAAAAAAAAAGATCCCCTTTCCGGTCATCTTTAAAATAAAAAAAAAAAAGACAAGGGCCAGTAGTCCCTATCACAACTTGACAGCCGTGGCAGTGGGAAAGCAGCCACAGACAGAGGGGTGGCTGTGTCAGCAGCACTTTATTTAGGAACACAGATTTGAATTTTATGTAATTTTCACGGGCCACAAGACACCATTCTATTTTTCTTTTTTGACTATTTAAAAGTACAAAAGCCATTCTTAGCTCATGGGCTGTACACACACGGGCTGGATCTGGCTGGACCAGATTTGCTGACCCCTGTTACACAGTGGCCCTGTGCTTTGGGTGCTGCCAGGGGGTGACGGGGGTCTTTCCCCACTGACTCTGTGAGCCAGCCCAGGTTGCCGAGGCTGTCCTGCATGTTTTCACACAGATCTGCAGTGCCCTGGCCTTGGCTTTGGGCGGGGTGGGGTCTACAAGGGGGCTGTGCTCCCATGGCTGCACTTGGGAATGGACACAAGGACTGTGCCCTTTGCCCTGCTGCTCCCCAATCACACCCTGCACAGAGCTGGACAAACTGACCATATGGCTTTCTGGCTTGGAGAAGGCAAGGGTGGCAGGCTCCAAGGAGGCCACCAAGGGCCAGCCCCCGCTCACCCAGGGTCTCCTGGGGTCATTTCCCAGCTAAGCAGAGCAGGAGCTCACTACCCCAACTGGCCGATCAGGGATTTCAGCAGTTAGGGGTGAGATGTGATGTAACCTTTGTCCTGCGAAGCTTGGTGAGTTCGTGGGAACAGAGTGTGGTTTCCGTCAGTCAGCCGTGCCCAGGAGACGTGCCATGGGCCTCTCGTTCCGAGCAGTACCGGTCCCTGCTCACAGGGCGAGGGCGTGAGATCGCAGCAAGTAGAATGGAAGGACTGAGCCAGAGGCTTGAAAACACCCAATGGAATCTGCTCGCTGGTGTTAGGCTCACTCTACATGTCCCTGTCCCTTCCTGGGACCTTTATAAGGTGGCAGTAATATAATATAAATAAATAAATGCTTAAAGAAATCCACAGTGATGGGGGAGGGGGACAAGACAGACAGGAAACAAGTGACCTTGGAACAGAGTCGTGCATACATTGTGTACATGAAACAAGAAAGGATGCGCCGAATGCTCCTAAAGAGATGGTGCCCATGTGGTCGGGCAGCGGGGATGAGGGATGTCCTGGGGGACAATCGGGCTGATGCCGTCTGACCCACTTTCCGCCCTTGCGTCACGGGGGCAGGACGGGCAGACAGGGTACCTGTCAGGGGCGCCCAGGATGACCTGCCTGGTCATGAGGAAGAATCACACTGGCCTCCGGATGTACCTAATTCTCATAGGAGGTGACGGGGGCCATGAGCGTGCGGCGGGACTTCCTAGGACAAATGACACAGTTCCTCCAACAAATGGATGGCGTGGGGGAAGAGAGGGCTGCAGTGGAATGAGAGGACGCATGAGGCAGAGCCACTGCATGCGAGCATGTGCCGTCTGGGCGCAGACTCGGGAGCAGCCGGCCTTAGCCCTGGGTGCCAGGAGTGGAATTGCGTTGGAACAGGGCTCTGAGGGGAAGGAGGGCCCCAGAGAAAAAGGGGTCCTGCAGGCAGCTCAGTGGAGAAAAACCAGCGGCTTCAAGTGAACACCTCGCGAGGAAGAGGGAGACGATGGGAAGCAGAGAGCGGCTGCGCGCCTGGCCGAGGCCCCCTGCCTGGGCCGGCAGGAAGAAGGGCAGGGCCACTGGTGGGTGCCGGTGTGGAAGAGCGGATGGTCGTCCCCTGTTGCACAAGAAAACAGTGTCAGGAGGCGCTGCGTGGAGAGGAGCAGCACGAGCATTGGGCGAGGCAGCCGGGAGAGCGGGGCTGGCACACCCGGCCCTGCCCGTTTCTGTACCGCAGGCGAGCTAGGAATGGGTTTTATGTTTCTAAATGGGTGGAAGAAAAAAAATGGTAGCAATGTTTCATGGTACCTGGAAATCAGATGAAATGCAGATTTCAGTGTCCGTGTAAATGAAGTTCACTCACATTCCATTGCGTTGGTAGCACCTGCAGCGGCGTCTGCGCCCCAGGGTGGAGCTGAGTGGCTGCGACAGACCAAGTTCCTGCAAAGCCCACAAGTCTGCCAGCCGGCGTGGCAGGGGCCGCCCCCCTGGGGTTGGTTGGTTGGTTTTGCTGTGGACTTGGCTGTGCAATCCTGTCCCTTCCCTTCTTCCCAGGAGCTACCTGGAGGGGAGTCTCCTGGCCAACAGGGCGCTGCTGGGGGCGGATGAGCTGGCCCAGTACTTCCCAGACAGGAGCGTGGCCCTCTTCGTGGCCACTTGGAACATGCAGGGCCAGAAGGTGAGAGGCGCCAGGCGAGGCGTGGCTGGAATGAGTGGGGTGCAGCCATCTTCCTGCAGAGGACCTTGAGGAAGGCCCAAGCCCCCACAACACATCCCACTGCAACACTTCCCTTGCAAGGGACCCTCGAGCCCCAGCCCTCCCATCTGCCCCTCCCTGGCCACGTGCTGGGGAATGCAGCAGGTGACTTCGAGCCTGTGCCCCAGGGAGCAGGGAGATGCACCTGGGGGTGGCCCAACTTGGACGAGCTGCACAGGCAGGGTGCCCCGATGCCAAGGGGTGCACAAGGGAGGGGCCAGATGCAGCTGTGGCGATAGACCAGGAGGTGGCTATTGGACAAACTCATGTTCAGGTCAGGAAATAGGCTGAGGGTGGCCTGCCCATATCTGAGATACCTTTGGCATGCCGGAGGGCACCCTTGGAGACTAAAGTCACGGCTGTTTGTGCACTGCCAGGTGGATCACATCTTGGCTGTGGCCTCAGTTTTCCCCTCATTCAGACGAGACTCTTCATCACCACCTATAGACAGTGTAGCAGGGACTCACCCGTGGGCTTCTGTCCCCAGCCCAGGAAGGAGCCTGATGGCCTCAGACTGACTGTCACATGGCTCTTCCTCCCAGGAGCTGCCACAAAGCCTGGATGAGTTCCTGCTGCCCGCTGAGGCCGACTATGCCCAGGACCTGTATGTCGTTGGGGTCCAGGAGGGCTGCTCCAACAGGTAGGGAGCCAGCTTCCACCCTCTCCAAGCCTGTTGGGCCCTCCAGTGTCCTGCGTGTTCAGCACTACCGAGGTGGGCCTTTGTGTCTGGAACTGGTGGGGTCTCAGCTTGGTCTGGAAATGTGAGTCACTGAGGCCACTCAGTCCCCTGGAGGCTCTGAGCCTGACTCCTCAATGGCAGGGTGCCCTGCAGCATTGTGACGAGTTTCCCTGGTGCTTGGGGAGTGGGCGCCATGTGGGTCTCCTTGCATCCATTCTGAGAACAGCAGGTGGCCTGGCTAGAGCCGGGGAACCCCCATCTGCACCAAGCACTTGGGGGGTCCCTGGGCTCCACCCGTGCCTGGTCTGCAAGTCCAGACAGGGAGGGTGTCAGTGAGGGTGGGGTGGGAATGCTCACATGGGGACTCAGCAAGGATCTGGGACCCGGCCCTACATCATTTGATTGAGAACTTGGGCCTGTGACTCCCACCGGTGCCAGGTTCTGGCCCAGCAGGGTTTTCTGCAGATGCTCCCTCAGCCCCTCCTCTTGCTGATCTGCCACCCATGGTGCAAGACAATGGGACAAATCGTGGGGTTACCCCGGCAGCTCCTCAAGGGAGCTGTCTGGGCAGCGGGTCTGGGGATAGCAGAGCAGGAAGGCCACGTCCCCCAGCCGACCCCACTTTATCCTCCGCAGGCGGGAGTGGGAGACACGTCTACAGGAGACGCTGGGCCCCCACTACATCCTGCTGTCCTCGGCGGCCCATGGGGTGCTCTACCTGTCCCTGTTCATCCGCAGGGACCTCATCTGGTTCTGCTCAGGTAGGTGTGGCTTGGCTTGGCTCTGGGTGCAGACAGAGGGTGGACGGCGCCCCCCAGCGTGGGGCCTGCACCCTGGCGTTGAGGGACTCTCTGCTCCTGCAGAGGTGGAGAGCTCTGCGGTGACCACGCGCATCGTGTCTCAGATCAAGACCAAGGGGGCCGTGGGCCTCAGCTTCACCTTCTTTGGAACCTCCTTCCTCTTCATCACGTCTCACTTCACCTGTAAGTCGCTGCCCACCTCCTGCTGTGCTGCTGCGCACACCTGTCCCCTGCCTGGCAGGGCCTGTCGGGCAGGAGCTGCTGGCCGCTCAGCATCATCTCCCAGGGCTGCAGGGGACTCTCTGTTCTTAGCGGGTACTGCACTGATGAGACGTGAGTGAGGACCCTGAGAGCAGACGTGAGGTTCAGGACGGTCACTGTGCTATGCTGGCCCGTCCTTGGTCCTCTGAGGCAGAGCTGCCTGCTGACCAGGCCTCGCAGCAGATACCCGGGTGGGGCCATTGCTGTGTAGACACTGTGAGGTCAGAACGTGGTGCAAGGTGAGGGCTCCTTACACAAGGAGACTGGAGTGTCCAGAAATCTGAGTCCCCGCCATGCTTCTATTCTCACAGCTGGAGACGGGAAGGTGGAGGAGCGGCTGCTGGACTACACCAGGACCGTGCAAGACCTGGCGCTGCCCAGGGTCGTGCCGGACACCAACCCCTACCACTCCAGCGCAGGTGAGGCCCTCAGGAGACTCACCTGGCCCCTTCCCTGTCCTGGGGAGTGTTTAGCAGAAGCAGTGCTTTCAGCATTTGAGAATCAAGGTCAGAAAGGTCTAGGAAGTCGCCCGCTAGCTGCAGTGGTCACTCTGGGCGTTTCCCCCCACGAGGCATGGCTGTCCTTTAGACCAGTTAGCAGCTGGGCAGGTGGAGGCCTGCTTGGGTTGTCCACTGGGAGCGAGGCATCCGCTAGCCTGGGTCCAAGTCGTCGCTGCCACCGCCCCCACCCAGCTGAGCAGTGACAGTCAACTCACCGTGGGCGGCAGGGTCGCTGTTTGCACCTGAGCCGCTCCAGGTGCTTTCTGAATCACCCACACTGTCCAAATGTGAATGCCACTCAGAAAGCTGTGCTGCCCACGCTGTCTCCCCCCACCCTGTGTCCCCCAGAGCTGCTGCCTGCCTGTGATTCTGGGGACAGGGAGGGACCCAGACCAAGGAGTCCCTGTCACCCCTCTGGGGCTGGCTGCCTGTCACAGGGAGGCCTGGCCCCAGCATGGTTCCGACATGTGCCACAGCGGATGTCACCACCCGGTTTGACGAGGTGTTCTGGTTTGGAGACTTCAACTTCCGCCTGAGTGCCAGGCGTGAGGCCGTGGAGGCCATCCTGCAGCAAGGCCCGGAGGCGGACGTGCCTGCGCTGCTGCGGCAGGACCAGCTGGCCCGGGAAATGAAGAAAGGTGAGTGGCCGGGCCAGGGGCGGGGGGTGCAGCCAGCACCAGCTGGTCTGAGCAGCCGCGCTGTTGCAGGGTCTGTCTTCAAGGGCTTCCAAGAGCCGGACATCCACTTCCTACCGACGTACAAGTTTGACATTGGGAAGGACACCTACGACAGCACCTCCAAGCAGAGGACCCCCTCCTATACGGTGAGTGCACCTTCTCCCTGGCTCGACCCCTGCCTTAGACCCGACCCTGCTGTCCACCTGCTGAACATGGTTGGCTTTCTAGGCAGGGACCTCCCCTAAGCTTATATCTCAGGTCAGGTGTACAGCCGCAGCAGGTCAGGTGAGGGTACTGGGTTGTGTGGCCTGGCGCCAGTGACTCCCTCTCTGAGTCTCCTCTGGCTGAGGACAGTGCCCTCCTGCGATGGCGCTGGGAGGCTGGGCTGGCAGCCAGCCCTCGGAGCTCTCGTGGGAGCCCTTTTCTTGCACACCGCCCTGCCCCAGGCCGCAGCCACACGCACCTCCCCCTCCCGCCCACCACCAGGCCCAGGCTCCAGCTCTGCGCAAATTGTGGCATCTGGTGGAAGCCTAGGGAAGCCGCTGAGGCTGGATGGCTCCCCATCTGCTCCTGGAGAGCTGAGTGGGGACAGGTGACATACGCACAGGGTCTCTAGGGACTCAGGGCCACAAGGGCAGGGTCACTGGCCCGCTAGCTCGTGGACACCTGGCACAATGTAAGTGCAGGGTTGGACACGGAAAGGGGCTCCCAAGGGGTTCCCTGCAGCACAGCCGGGGCCACACCTGGGATACAGTTGTGCATAGCAGCCCTCCTGCCTCTGAACTCTCTTCCTGAAGGACCGGGTCTTATACAAAAGCCGCCACAAGGGTGACATCTGTCCTCTGAAGTACTCTTCCTGCCCTGGGATCAAGACCTCCGACCACCGCCCCGTGTACGGCCTGTTCCGGGTGCAAGTGAGGCCTGGGCGAGACAAGTCAGTGTCCCCGCGCACGCCTTCCTTCTGGGGCCTGGTGGGGGCTCAGGGCCAGGGGGTGACACACTCGACAAGGGTGTATGTGCTGCCATCACATGACACTGTGACATCCAGACAGGACAGGAGCAGGGCTGCTGCCAGTTGCTGTCACGGGAACGTAGAGGGTCATGGTAACCCCTGGGGTGACCACCGGAGGCCTGTCCTGAGACCTTCGGGCTGTGCTGTCTGGGCTTGGCTGGCCACCCTGTGGTACAGGAGGCAGGCGGGGGCCAGTGTGAGGCTTTAGGAAATGAAGTGGAGACGCATAGCACTGCGGCTGGGGTCGGGGCGGCCACCCAGTCCTTCCTGGCCTCAGGGGCAGGAGCAGGTGTCTGTGTGTGCTAGAGGAAGCCCAGCCGCGGAAGGCCGACCCCACGGCGTCTGCAGCAGAGCGGCCGCAGGCACCCTGGTGACAGCTCTTTCCTCCACAGCATTCCCCTAGCTGCCGGCAAGTTTGACCGAGAACTGTACTTAATAGGAATTAAAAGACGGATCTCGAAAGAAACTCAGAGACAGCAAGTGCTGAAGAATCAGATCTCCAGCGCTATTTGTACCGTTTCTTGAAGTTGGCTGAAGGAGGACCTTCCGACTGCAGCAGGGAGGTGCCTGACACGACGGGCCGTGTGCGCTCGGGGGGCAGTGAGCCCCAGGATCCTGAGGAAGCCCTCCCCACCCGAGGGGCTGTCCTGCTTTCTCACCACGAAAGCCCGAGGATGGCAGGGGGCTGTGGCGGGACAGGAAGGAAGCTGCCTTCCTCGTCCCTGAGCAAGCCACCCGCCCGTGACATGTCCCCATGTGCACTGGCAGAGAGAGCCTGGACCCCACACAAAGCGTCACACCTCCAGCCACACTCGGGCATCTGTCAGGTTGGCCTTGAGCAGTGCCACGCTCTGGGGCAGCAGCAGGTCCCCACACTTCCTCTCTCTGCTGCCTTTGCTCATGTCTCCACACCCAGAGCTGGCGTTTCCAGATCCACACCCTCCTGGCAGCCCCTCAGGCACACAGAGGGTCCTTCCACACCACAGGAGTCTGGGGTCTCAGACCCCTCTCTGGGCATGCCCCAGAGCCCAGCTCAGGCGGAGGCGCCATCCAGAGGCTGAACTTCCGGGATGTGACGCAGTGGCCAGCACCCGTCTGGGGGGCTCGCTGCCCTTCCCCCTTCCTCCATAGGCCAGGGCCTGTGTGTGGAAACAGGTCATGGTTTTGGTGATTTCGCATCAGTTGCTTCTAGTAACGTCAGCCTCAGAACGACATTACTGGAAGTGGAGTGTTGTGGCCTGAGAAACCGGTGTGGGCTGCGCGCGTCACCCGCTTGCCTGCTGGGCCAGCGCCAGCGCCACCACCGAGCTCCGGTCTCCTCCCGTCTGGCGGAGGCTTCAGAGCTCACTATTGTTCTTTGCACCTTATCCCGTCTCTTAAAAAAAATGCAGACTTTGAATGTGTAAAAGTCCAGTAACATCCAATCTCGTCTTTTAAATTATTTTTCCATATTTATATTTTTAAATAAATGCATATGTTGAATCTTAAACTCTCTTTCTGGCCAGAGACTGGCTCTTGGAAAGAAACCACCTGTACACATGCCCTGTTCCTATTAAAAAGGTCCGTGAAATTCAGGGCGGAAAGTTTGGTCTCAGCTCTCCACCGCTAACCACAATCTTGTCTCGTTCACCTCTGCTGTGTGTGTTTAAAATCCTACATCCGCAGTTCACTGCTCCAGGAGCCAGGTTAGCCATGAAAGTGCCCTTCTAGGACGAAGAGAACACTTCCGACGTGAGTGCGCCGTGACACGGTGAGACCGTGGACTGTTCTAACGATCATGTAAAACCCATATTAGTGTCAGCTTCCGAGATACGGAAGGTAAATTATAAAGCAATACACAATCTCTTGATAAAAAGAGAAATCTGGGGCTGTCTGGTTAGCTAAGTTGCTCTGAGTGTGGTGTTGGTAGGTACCACCACAATCAAGGGTTCGAATCCCCACACAAGCCATTGCCCCCCCCAAAAAAATCCCATTAACGAGGGCACAGTCAGTCCCATCTAGTTTCAATACACTATTCAGATGGTCTATGTATAAAATTTCGCTTGAATTAATGTGCTGCAAGTTTCAAATCAGTTGAAAATCTGTTACAAAGATTATTTTTGTGGTAACGGGACTTGACATGAGTCAGGTTTCACAGATCCTCTCTAGGCACTTTCTTTGACACAAACCTGGGAAGAGATTTTAACGTGACGCTTGAGTGTCTTAGTTGGTTTGAGGCTAACAGCGTCCCGTCTCTGCGGGAGTAGCACGCACATCTGTAACGTCATGGGTCAAGAGGTGTGACTTACTTGAGACTAGCCGTCAGATTTTAAATGAATGGAATTTCACTTGGAACGTTAGTTTAAAATTCAATTTAAGACAAAGTTGGCCAATCTAAGGAAAATGGATCTCATATAGAAATGTGAAAAGAACCAAGCGTGAGGTGTAAAATTCAATTTAAGACAAAGTTGGCCAATCTAAGGAAAATGGATCTCATATAGAAATGTGAGAAGAACCAAGCGTGAGGTGTTTTATTTATTATTTATTTATTTATTTTTTGTCCTTTTTGACACCGGCCGCACCGCGCTCAGCCAGTGAGTGCACCGGTCATCCCTATCTAGGATCCGAACCCGCGGCGGGAGCGCTGCTGCACTCCCAGCACCGCACTCTCCCGAGTGCGCCACGGGCTCGGCCCAAGCGTGAGGTGTTTTAAAATTCGGCTCTGGTTTTCTCAAGCGCTTGGCTTGTCGCTCATTCGTTCGGCAAGTACTGACAGTCCTGCCGTGCCCAGACTGGCCGCTGGAACATGGGAGCGAGCAAAGGGCCTGTCTTCAGCAGCGACTGTCCTAGCGGGGCTGGCAGACGGGAGGAAAGATGCTAAAGTGCACGAGTGCAGAAGGGGAGAGGCAAAGCGCGCGTGTGCAGGGAAAGCCTGAGCCTGGTGTGCGGCTGCAGGGGGAGGCGAGGGAGGAGCCAGGAGTCCAGGGAGAGGTGCTCCTGGCTGGGGAAGCGGCTCAGAGGCCCTGAAGTAGGCAGAGCACCAGGCAGGCAGCGGCAGGGACCCAGAGAAGACTTGTACTAGCACCGGCTTCCGAAACACCAGACACTGGCGTCTGGTAGCAGTATCTAGAATTTTTTTTCCCTTATTTTTGAATTTACAAAATGTTTTGAACTTTATTTTCCATCAAAAGAAGATGGACAAATAGGAAATCCCCAGATCTAGAATTCATTTCTTTCACTAAAAGAGAATTTAAACAGACATAATTTTACAGGATAAATGGCTGGAACTGCCTACTGACAAAGGATGAAACGTACACCGTGAGAGCACAGCAGCAGGCTGGCGGGGTGGCTCAGTTAGTTACAGCGTCGTGTCGGTAACACCAAGGTCAAGGGCTCAGATGCCCCCTATCCACCAACCGCCAAAAAAAATACACAGCGTCGCTTACTTCACTTTCCACGAAAGTGAGAATATCCTGAGCTCAATAACACTGCTTTAAAACTTCTTCCTCCAGTTCTGTCCCCTCAGAGAGGCTGGCTCCTCTGCTGTGAATGTTCACGCTCCCACTGAGCTGCCACCCCGAGGGCGCACATGGGGCCTGTCCACCACTGTCCCCCCACTCTGCTACAGGGGCTGGTGCAGACTTTACGGCCACTGCAGCCGAAACAGAGCTGGGCTGCGGGAGGTGCGCAGTCAGCCCCTCTGCTGAGGGCCAGCTCCCCTCAGCTCCTGCTTCCCTCCGGGCCTCCACGCTTCTGCCAAGGTCGCTCCAAGGCTGCTTGGCAGTGGGGAGCAGGCCTGCTTCATCAGGATCTCTGCAAGCCCAACGCCAGCTCTGACCTCCACTGCATCGTGACGCCCACCACGCGTGCTCAACGGTCAGTACATGGTCCAGCTTCCCATCTCTACATGCTGCCAGGCATTTTTTTTTTCAATGTGATAGCAATAGAAAGTTTCTAACAACCAAAAATGCACACTCTTAGAAACATTATGCCATTTTCCTCTGCTCCAACCACAGTGGATTGGATTCTACAAGGTGGGCAGCGAGCGGACACCTCCCATGTGGGCAAATTCTGAGTCACCTTTGCTGGTACACATGTGTGTTGTAAAGGTACCAATTTCCCAAAATGTGTATTTTCAAAATCTGTACTGCAGAGGCCAGGTTTCTCAGCTACTCAAAAAACATGACCTGGAGACTCTTCTCCCAACAAAACAGGGCAGCTGAGAACGACCTGTGGGGGCTAATGCAGGTTCCCAGGACCTCCCCCCACCCAACCCCAGCTCCCAGGGGTGATCTCTGTGGGTGTTTAAACTTCAGAACTACTGATGTACACCACACTGAAGTTTTAAGCCACAGCCTACCTTCCCAGCCAGTTAGCCTTTCAATTCTCCTGAAGAGTCTGCACCCGCAGGCCACACCGTGCAGCTCTCTAGCTCCCACCTCTCAAAGTGTCTGCAGCTTTGGGGCCGGCCCGGTGGTGCACTGCTATAGTGCGCCGCTTGGGAAGCGCGGTGGCGCTCCCGCCGAGGGTTCAGATCCCACATACAGACTGGTTCCCACTCACTGGCTGAGCAAGGGGCGGGCGCAACCCCGAGGGTTGCGATCCTGTTGCCGGTCCCGGTCCGGTACGGGCGCGACACTGAGGGTTACAATCCGTTGCCGGCCACGAAAAAAGACAAAAAGGAAAAAAAAAACAAAAAAGTGTCTGCAGCTTCACCACTGCCACTAACCATCACCCATCGGTCACACCCCTGCACACACTGACACCTCTGAAATCAGAATGCACCTCAAAATTAAAGGACAAGAGGCTTTGAGATAATGGGTCAAACTGGACGATTTTCAGGGAAAAGGATCTCTATTTTAGGAAAGTCTCCAGTTAAGACAGGCCTTTAAAAATCCCTTTCTAGTGGGCCGGCCCTGTGGCTCATTTGGGAGAGTGCGGTGCTGGTAGCGCCGAGGCCGCGGGTTCGGATCCTATATAGGGATGGCCGGTGCGCTCACTGGCTGAGCGTGGTGTGGGTGACACCAAGCCAAGGGTTGAGATCCCCTTACCGGTCAAAACAAAACAAAACAAAAAAATCCCTTTCTAGTAAGGGTGAAGAAAAACACAGTGGTAAGAAAAACGGTCCCCACTTTATTATCAGAGTTACAGTGGACACACACACACCACGTGCTCTTGCCTCGCCCAGTTTGTCAAAGGTGAGTCCTGGGACCCATTGCAGGAACACAGCAGTTTGGGGTGGGCAGTGCAGGCCTCCCAGGAGGCCGGGAGGGCTCCAACAGACCCACGTTTGGCGCTCACCCACTCAGTGACCGCTGGTCTTAAGGAAGTTGTAGCAGACCTGCATGCTGAGAATTTGTGATAAGGTGACCACACTAACCTGGTTTTATTACAGCAGGCTGCTTTTAATTTTTCTACACTTGACCTGGTTTCTTGCTTGGATTAGTGAAGGTAAATATTTATTCCAATGATAGGCATATTCGATTCTGAAAGAATGAGACTGAGTGGGTGTTCTGGCAACATTAAATTTGTCCATTCAAGTTAAGCAAAGTGTCTCACTGTCTGCACTGTTTACAGAACCTGACATCTTTTTACACTAAATCCACATCCACAGTAACACGGACAGAAACGTGCTCTACCTACTCCGGTCTACGTCGGAGCTTGGAGGGACTCTACCGGAAGAGCCTGTACATCCTGGGCAGGTGCCCGTCCTTGCTAGACAACGCCGCCTGGATGTGCTCGTAAGAAGGCAGGTCAGTCAGATCACCCAGGGCGGCCACTGCAGGTTTACCACGGAGCATTTTTGAAGCAACTCTCTTGACGTCTTCTGGCTTCACATTGCCTAGCACAGAGAGCAGAGGATGTCAGTTAAACACGTCAAGGCTGTTGTCACTGAACGGACCAAGGGGGTGGCCAACCTGTATCACTCCCATTGCCAAGGAAGGAGCTGCTGAGGGATCCAGAGGGTCCAGCTGCAACTGGGTGTGAACCGAGGGTGAACCAGAGCGAAATCACAGAAGTGAGTTTTTCTTGGTAAACGGGGATGTGTCTATGGTTTAGACTTATTTTCAAATGCAGACAGACATACCCACCACAACAGGAGTTAGCATATTTACAAAGGGGCAAGCTCCTTGTCTAATGAGTGAACTTCATGATGGGCCTGCTGTAAAAATCTGAGAACCCCTCGGGCTGAGGAAGCCTCCACCCAGCCCTGCCCGGTGGTACTCACAGATGAGCGCACACAGCTCGTGGGGCAGCTTCCTGGCACGGGTGGCCAGCACCTGCCTCCCCACGTCCTCGAAGATCACAGGCCTGGACTCCAGGTTCATCATGAGCATGGACATCAGCTGCGTCTTGGCTCGTTCCAGCTCCACCTGAGACCAGCGACTGGGTCAGCTGGGCCCTCCCAGTGGCCTCACGTGCCCCCCATACCAGCCCCACCCACCACATGGCCTGCACACCTCCTCCCCCACATTTTCTGGGTGAGGGTTGGTGCTATACCTCATGGGACCTTTGCCACACTTGAGATTAGGGAGAAGCATGCTTCCCTTGAGTCCTTCCTTACTGTGTGTTTGACATGGAGCAGCAGGAGGTTAAAAATGTTAAAAACCCAAACTCCAGGACCCCAAACTGGCCGCACAGCAAAACCAGGAAGAAAACTAATTAAACCAGGCTCAGGGATCCTACCCAGACTCCCCAGGTGCAGGGTCCAGGCAACAGTGTCCAGCCTGGGAAGTTCTAAGGGCAGCAGCCCAAAGGGGTCTCCCTAACCTCCGAGTAGGCCCGGAACCAAGAGCACTACGGCTCCAGCAAACTTCACTAAGAAAGCTCAGGCTGTAAGCTCTGGGTACAGCCAGGGAGCAGCTGAGAAACGATACACTAACAAATCCTGGGGGCCGTCAAACTCAAAAACAGACGGCTACTGAGCTCCCCCACCAACCTTTAAGTAAAATAATTCAAACACTGAAATACTTTAAATTTATCTCAAACTGACTTCACATTAGTGGAAAGTATTATTTCTCTGGCAGAACACTGATGAACTGAAGACTAATTTTTAAACCCATTTTTATTTCTTAGATAATACTTTTTTTCATGATCAAAACGGAGTATGTAATCATTGCAGAAAACTTCGAATGTGCAGAAAAGATCCAAAGGTAACGCATGTTCTCCAACACGTGTGGGCACACAGTGCTCACCTGGCACTGTGCGTGTGTGCACATGTACCTCCATATGTGTGTACAAGAAATTTGCCTATTAGTACCTGCTCTGGTCCTGGAAGTGACAAGGCTTCCAATCATACAACGTATCAAAACTAAGCTAAAAAAATATGAGTGAACAAAAATTTAGGTTCACACCTTAAATGGAGGGAGAAACCTCAAGTAAAAAAAACCCTGTGCCTGCCTTAGTTCACAGCCACCTTGTAGAAGGTGCTAAGCACACACAGACTCCTGTCTCTTCAGCCATGCTGAGGAAGGCCACATGGTCATCCCCTGACCACTAGGCCCACGGGAGGGAACCAGACCGAGAGCCCAGGGAAGGTGCAGGGGCTGCTCTCAAATGACCAATGGCTGCAGAGGGCTCCCGAAGCACAGTGGCCCAGCCCTGCCCCTGTGCTGCTCTCAGCTGCGCTGTTCTGCTGGGACTGGGGCACAGGGGCTTGGAGGACAAGGCCCGCAGCTGGCCATTCCTACAATGTAGCCCTCTCCCTTGTCAGGTGCTGTGGGCAAATCTGAAAATGGCTCTAGGCCTTACTTACCACATCCACAGTCCCACCCATTAAAATGAATTCCTTTGTGATGATTTCCACCATTTCTCGAACCTACAAGTAGAGCAAGGCAGTGAGTGTGACCCGCCTTATGCGGGGACAGCCCTGCCTGAAAGCGCAGCAGCTGCTCCTGGGACATGAATGGACGAGAGCCGAGGGCAGGCACCTGTCTTGGGTCGGCGCTGGCGTGGATGCACAGGAGGCCTGTGTCCTCGTAGCTATGGTGGTAGGAGGTCGCGTTATACATCCAGTGGTGCCTGAGGGAACAGGGGGTTGTCAGGGCAAAGGCGACTCAACGCCAGGCCACGGAAGACTGGAGAAAGAACACCTGGAAGGTGGCAGTGCAATCCAAAAACACACTCGGCCTGCCGAGTGGCCTGAGGACAGCTACACGGAGGCCAAGACCCACCTGTTGAGCACGTTGAGGTAGAGCCTGGAGAACATGCCCTTGCCGGGCCCACCGGCTGAGAAGGAGCCGCCGCCACCCATCATCATGTTCAATACGGCAAAGGGGATGAAATCTTCCTCCTGCGGGGACAAGGCAGAGCTCAGCCCAAGGGCCCACTCACCGCCCAGGGTGCACCGTCTGATCCTGCGCCTGGACTTACCAGGAAGGAGCAGCTCTCGAGGCCCACCATGATGTGTGTGAGCTCAGGGATCGGGGTCGGGCCCAGGCTGACATTGGACATGTCTCTTTCTAGCTGTAACCAAAACAGCATATAAGCGTGGCCCACATGGAAAATAAGCAGGACTTGCAAGCTCCTCAGAATAGATCGTCCAAAAAGCGGCTGAAGAGAAATCCTACACAAACATAGGTAAATTCTTCCACTACAGGGAAGAGTGTCCTTAACCTTCTGCTGGAGCAGAATTCAGTCCTGCGCTCTCAGCTTCCAACAGGAGCATGTTTTATGATGTTGTGGGACTATCGTGTGCACTGCGGTACAGCCACGAGTGAGGTCAAGTTCTAACACCTTCAGGATAAATGTAAAACGTCCCAAAAACACAAGTCAGAAGAAGTGTGTGTCGCCCAAGCTCACACCTTTCCCGCCACCACTTCACCTTGACCATTCCCCCGGTGTACTGTGCGACTGATCTATCGACATCCACAGCCTTCACGTGCCCCCAGGCTGGCTGGGTTCCCAGGAGGTATTTTCTGGCACATTCCACCAGGTGCTCATGCTCGACACCCACTCCAGCCAGCACCATGCGGTCGGGGGTGTAGTAGTTTCTCAGGTAGGAATGAAGCACTTCTCGGTCAATCTTCCCTATGTTTTCTGGGGGGCAGAAACGGTGGAGGCCGACCGTGTTTTCCCCATAAGCAGCCTAATAAAGGAAGGAGATAACAACAAATGACACAGTGAAGGTTCCCGCTGCCCCTTCTCCAGCAATAGCTTCGGAAAAAACCTACACAAGCTGGTCACTTTAGCTACAGTGCAGCAGCTGCCACTTTGTGTGCACAAGACTACTTCTAAAAGTTTGTGGAAAGATAGAATTGAAAGACATCTATGAATCTTTCCATGAACTTTTTCAAGTACCTCATATTTATAAAAACCGTAAAATCTACCCCTCCAGGAAGTACCTACCATTATAAAAAGGTGATTTTATAGACAGAGTGGTAAAGACTACTCTAAAGAAAGAACTGAAAATACAAACACTGCGCCAACAGCAGATTCAGAAACTAAGAATGTTTTGTCAACACCCAGAACCCGCGAGGACGACCTCAGGGAGGCCAGTGACCCCCAAAGTCCCAGGAGTTATGAGGCCACTGATCTGGACGTGCAGCACTGGTGATTCTATACTTTACTTCGTGAATCATCTCAGTGAGAAGCGGTTCTGGGTCGGGCCGCATATTCAGGTCCTCCAGCTCAAACTGGATGGCCATCCGAGTCATCTGCATTTCTTCATCTGCAAAAGAACCCAAAGACAGAGCTCAGCGTACGCAGGTAAGGATGGAGACTCCAGCATGAACCCTGAGTCACTGGGCAGGCGCTGAGTGTCATGTGTTGGCGGTCACCTTTGCCTTCATCTAGGGCAAACCTGGGTTCTTTGTGTGAGGGCCGGGGTGCTGTGGTGAGCAGGGACCAGGGTGACTCTTGCCTCTCACCCTGGCTCTGCGACAAAGCAGCCATTTGGACCTGCTCCCATTTTTGGCTTCCTCACCCATAAGAGGCACAGACTAATGCCAGTGGTGTCCTATAATCAGCTGTGACAACAAGTTTCGCGAAGACCTTAAAACAGAACTTCAGCCTTGGAACACCGAGGCCAGGCTGCTGGGAGCCAGAGCACACTGTCAGAGTGGCTGGAACAATGAGCATTCCTCTCTCCCGGCCCACTCCTGGCAGGGAGTGCACAGTCCTGCATCTGCAAGGCCAAGCAGGGCAATGGAGACAAAGAAATGGAAACTCCTGGCAGCATGCCAGTCAGGGTGTTTAAAGACAGTCTGAGGTGCCTTTCTGAAATAAAGAACCAATTTCACTGAAAATGTAAAATGGCACAAAGTGATACATCAAAATATTAAGCACTCTCTAAAATGCCAGAGTTTTTTTTTTTTGCAGCTGGTTGATATGGGGATCTGAATCCTTGACCTTGGTGTTATTAGCACCACACTCTAACCAAATGAGCTAACTGGATTTTTTTAACCACCAGCGTTGCTTCTAGTGAGATGGCACTATCACTGCTGCATAAACCCAAGGTTCCAATAACACGGTGCTTGTCCTTAGCTGCAGTGCATCAACAAACCTCCCTGGTCTCCCTCACTCCCAGGCCCACCTCAGGCATCAGCGGCCTGGATCCACACCTGTCAGCCGGGGGTGTAGGACCACGTCAGCCAGTAAGCCAACCACAGTGTCCAAGCCTTTGCTGTCAGCAGACACAGCATACATAGTGGTGTCCCTAGAAAGAAAAAACAAGCCAACAGTGGTGAGCAGGTACCGACCCCACACTCAGCAGGATGGGAGCACACTGCTGCCTTGCCTGTCGGCAGGGAGTTTCCACCACAAGGACCAGCACTCTTTTCCCCACTTTTCCCGTGTCACATTGCGAATTCCTGGCAGGCAGAAACCACAGTGCTGAGTCAAAATGAAGCCGATTCTGAGAGGTTTTTGTGACCACAGGCTCTCTTGAAAGGTGAAGTGCTCTGTCCTGTGCTTCCTAAGTGTTTGTGGAATGAACCGGTCAATATGGAAACACGCCCGGCCTCGGATGGTCAGGGCACAGAGACAACTTTACTCTTACAGAGCTTGTTGTCCAGTTGTAACATTAACTCAGAGAACGAGGCACTATGTGATCAGAAGTGCACAGAGTCGGTCAGGGAAGGAACAAGCACAAGACGATCACAGAACTGAGATCAAGTGTAACCAAAAGACCATGAAGAACAGACACAACTGCCACACAGAGAAGCGTGAGCCCCATGAGGTGGGACACGGTCACCAGTGCCTTTGCAGAGGGGGGGACTGGGCTGGACCTTTACCCTAGAGAGGAGCCACTCTGAGTGGGCTGCAGCCTTATTTGGGCACAACAGCAGGAACAAGAGCCTGAGCTGAGGCTCGGTGCGGTGTAGCTGAGTCAGCAGCCCGTCTGAGCCCAGGAAGGCATTCACTGGGGGAAGGAGGTGAGGGGTTTGAGGCAAGAACGCGGGAGCCTAACACTGAGTCTGGTGTCATTTGTGGGCAGCCAGGAACCAGAGGTTTTTCAATACAACTTATTTTAAAATATGAATATATTACCTCCATGCTAACTTTAATTCCTGGCATTTAACATGTCTTTAATGTACAATTTTGGGGCATTCAGATTTAAGTAATCAACCATTTAAAAAGGTCTGTATCTGCGTCTACCCACCTCACACTACCCAGAGCTTTCTGAATGTGCCCCACACCTGCCATACAGAGAACTCCCCCTTGTCCAAAGCACATGCCCCCCGAATTGTGCTCAGCTATATCCTGTCCCCCTCCCTGTCCCCAAACAGACCTCTGCCGCTTCCAGCTGGGAACCTTGGGCCCTGTTGTTCCCTGGGTCTGGAACGTCTCCTGCCTCATCTGTCTGGCAAGCTCCTGCAGGAACCAGCCTCAATGCCACGCTTCCTATGATTCCTTTCCCAACTCCAGACAAGTTAGCTGCTTGTCCTCCAGGCTCCCACTACCCTCAGCTCTTGCGTCCATTACCTATATGTGGCCTCCACCCTGTCTGTAAGTATCTGGGCCTGTTCTGTATCCCCAGCATCTGCTAACAGTCTAGCTGGACTGATGGGGTCAGCAGGCTTCCTGGGACTTTGTTTCTCGTGTGAGTGTTGCCACCTGTGTATTCTGCCCATCTAATTCTCCACCCGACTCTCCTTCCAGGCCAGGGCTCACTTCTCACCGTTGCTCTCCACGGCCTCTCCAGAGGGAGGGCTCGGTGGGACTCTGACCAAGCGTGAGAACTACAGCCCCCGGTGAACACAAAGTAAGTTCGTAGATAAAAGCTGGTGTACCTTGAGGTCTGGCAGTCACAAATACCCCCATGCTTTTCCAAGGTAAGCAGAATTTCATCTTTGCTGTCAAATCGAGCAGTAGACTAATAAAAACAAATAAGAAATCCAAATAAGCAATCCAAAACAACCCCTAAAATATTAACAAAATTTGCTCTTAAAACACGTGAAAACAAATTATCTTTCAAGTTAAGTGTTTTATTAACATTAACTTAGAAACACAATCATTTATTCAAATAACCATTTCAAAAAAAGAAAGACTTCAAAGATCCTTCCTAAGTACAGTCTCAAAAATTACAAATTGGACACTGACCGAAAACGCCAATTTTTCCAAAAAGTGAGCAATTCCACTAAGATATTTTGCTTCATATCTTGATCCTGAATTAATAAGAACTGGTAATAAAAAGAAAATTAACAGGTTAAAGATGTTCAAAACAGAAGATTTAATGAACAGAAACCTTTTACAATTGTGAACGTGACTTCACACCTAGATTTAATTAGTCATGTTCTGCACAGCAACGTTTTTGTCAACAGACTGCATATACAACAGTGGTCCCATAAGATTTTAGGTGTGCAGTAGGCTATACCATCTAGGTTTGTGTAATTATATTCTAGTGTTCACACAGCGGCAGAATCACTGGACGGTGTATTTCTCAGATGTAACCCTTTTGTTTAGTGACATGTAACTGTACATTAGTGTTGGGAAAATAGAATAATTTAATCAGGTCCCCTTGCCTTAGGCCTGGTTGAGAGTGGTAGAGCCCATTTCTTTGTAAATAAGTTGTGTGGGTGGAGTTAGTGCACACGCGCAGCACCACGGCTTGGCTGGCAACTGCCTCGGGCATCCGCTGTGCTGTGCACGGGCCATGCTCTCGAACCTATGGCTCCCAAGGACCTGTTTGCTGGTTACCTAGTTCACAGACCTGCATGTGAGGGGTCTGGTGACCCAGCCTGGCATGTGAGGGGTCTGAGGACCCAGCCTGGCGTGTGAACGGTTTGTGACCCAGTCTGTGAACGGGCTTGAGGGGTCTGTGAACTCCAGACCCAGCCCTAGCTCGACAATTGGCCCAGTCAGCAGGATTATGGGCAGGTAAAAGAGTGCGACAATTAGGGTGACAGATATATACTCACTATCTTGATTGCAATGATGGTTTCACAGGTATACGTGTATGTCAACATTTACAAAATATACACTTAATATTTGTGATAGAAAACTTTTACATTTACAAAATAGTAAAAAAAAAAAAAAAAAAAAAAAAAAAAAAAAAAAAAAAGTGGGGGGAAATTACCCTAAATGCAACCACCAGAAATGGTCACTGTTCATATTTTGGTTACTAAGTCTTCAGATTTCTAACATGCTTCCACTCAGGGTACAATTCATAATTGATATACTAATTACAACTGACAGTCAACTACAACATGTTAAAACAAGTGAGACCACCTGCAACACTACCAACTGTACTTACTTCCTACTGTACAAAATTGTCCAAACTTATTTTGAGATGCCACGCGAAGCCCATTATCCAGTGTGGTAACTTTGGTTTCAAACTTTTCCTGTCCATCGACTGTAGCAAAAACCGGCTGGGGTACTCCAGGTAAGGGAGAAGAAAGGGGTATGTTGGGATAGGCTCCGCCACTACTAAACTGTCTGCATACAGGGGGTCCAAACCTAAAACAGAGAAACGGCCAGTTACAACAGCCTGGAGACACCTGGGCCTGTGACAACCATTTGAGTGGGCTCAGCTAACGTTTTGTCTGCATTAGAAGTCAAAATCTCTCTTTTTAAAGGATTTATTTCTACAGCCTTGAAAGACAACACAAAGGAGTGACCCTGGCTCAGCTGAGGGACCTGAGACAAGTTAGATCAGTTCTCTGGATCTTAACTGCCATCTGTGTAAAGTAGGGCTTTAAGTGTAAACACAGACAAAGCACTTTGAACAGCTCTGCCCTTCAGCTCCACTGAAGTCTAAATTGAAGCCACACCCCTTCACCTGATCTGGTATGGTCGCAACCACAGCTCTCCATAATCTGGCCTGGGTCTGCCTGTCCAAATTCATCCCCTCAACCCCCCCCCCCAAAATCCTCCTCACACTGACTCTTCCCTTAGTTCCTGGAACACACGTGGCTCTTTACCTACGAAGCTTCTCTTTTCACTGTTCCGGGCCTGCCTTTTTCACGTGGCTACCCCTTCTCTCATTTTTATTTCTTGACTTAAATATCACACGGCAGAGGTACTACCCCTATCCCTCACCCGTCTGCCTAGTCTCCCCTGTTATTTTCTATGACTAGGCCGCCTTACTTACTTATATGCATCTACATATCGCTGACAGTCTGCTCTGGCTACCATGTGCGTGCATCTCCTGAAGACGACACCTGTGTTTCTGTTTACCTCCCATCCCTGACACGGTGCTTGTCACGTGGTGAGGGATCAGCACACGCGTGCTGCCTGAGGGCACGTGCCAGAGTGGGAAAAGGCAGGCCTGGCCACGTGGGCAGGAGGGCCGGGGGACAGCGCGGGCTCACCAGGAAGGGAGCACGCGGCAGGGCGGGCGCGAGGCAGGGATGGCCGCGGACAACGCCCGTCGGCCCGAGAAGTGAGGGCGGGGAGCACCCGGAAGCCGGGAAGATAAGAGAGGACGGGACCCCGGGCTCGAGGCGCGGGGCAGCGCTCCCGTCACCCCGGGGGCGAGGCTGGCCTCCCCAAGTCCGAGCCTGTCCACCGGGAGCCGCGCCGGGACGTACGGAAGCCACGGGCGGGGCGGCCGGAGCGACTCGAGCCTCCCCGAGCCCCGTCCCC